CGCCGAGTACAATATAGTACGGATCAGTACTATAGTTACATATTTACAGATTGGGTGAGTAAAATTTTCACCTTTTCACTGTCCAAATGCTTCAAATTTGGGCAAATATGCGAAGTTTGCTTGGTACAGTGACACAAGTCAGCTTGAATGGTGAATTGTAAAGCACGGATGTGCTCTCCGCTACTTCTTCCTTATTTTTGAACCCCGCATTTAGTCATATAGGTTGTAGCTAATAGATTTGCTTTAAGCTGGTTAACTCAATTCGAGAGGCTACAGAGGATTCTAGCAACACGTATTGTGTAGCATTTGAAGAATGTATGGTATGCAGTAGCAGAATGCATCACTTGGAAGTGGTGTAACAGACGTGATTCCTGTGATAAATCAGCCAAATACGGATGCAACAGATTCAGGGGGAGCCTTTATTTTTGAACCTGAACAGAGAATTAAGTGGAGGGTTGGGTATTGGACATTCGAAATTAAGTGCTGAGTGCTGAAATGGCCTCCTAATACATAAATCAGCTGTAGCGGCCATTGAGGCGAAACAGTGAACAAGTGGCACAAACATTAACAAGTGAAGGCAAACAAGGGGATTGGAAGACAACTGGCTGACTTACTGACTGACTGGCAGGTCAACTGACTTTTGGGGCGAAGTTACCTTTGTATCTCGAAGTTAAATGCGTAAAGGTCTCATTGATCATCTCCGACTAATCTGTTAAATACCCTTTACTTACCAGATCACCTGCCCACAGGGGACTCGGTGTGGTATAGATGTGGTAAAATACAGACACAGTCGTTCATCCTTAAAGGATAAAGAATCACATGTGCTTGATCTTTGTGCCTGACACTGTGTACCTTGAAGTTGTGAGCGCAAAACAACTTCCTTTGGAGAAACAAATATAATCTCCAAATGTACACGTTCCTTGTGAAGCGATTTGCATTTTTAAAGTTTTAAAATAAAGTAAAATTAGAATCACTGAATTATTGGGGTTCTTTTTCCTCGAATTTCATATAAGAATATTTGATTTTTAATGAAGGCTGCTTTGTAATCACGATGACATTGGTTACCTAGTAATTAAAAATGCATTTTAGAAATTTAATCTGGCTGACGATACCCCTCAGTAATCCTATGGTTCTTTCAGGATGTTCAATTTGTTGAACCCAAGATCTTCACCGTTGACAAGGGGGCCAATTTCTCGACACTCTCCCTGATGCCAATGATTCCCGTCAACTATGCCATTGAGGGAGTCCTCAATGATGTCCAAAACAATGATGAAGAAACTCCAGCTCACTCAGGAAAAAGTCTTGTGGGTCCCTAAATAACTATAACGAGGTGTCGGTTCCATTCAAAACAAAAGATTTTTGGAAGATAATTTACCCATTTGAGATTCATTTCAGCGTGGTTTCAAGTTTAGCCCCGAGAACTTCCCTTTCAGTTGCTTAGACACCCATCTCAGACAGGTTGCATCAACTTTAATTGTAATCAACCCTTTCTTTATGCTTTTGGTTCATGATGACAGTAGGCCAGGGGTTCGGAGTGCTCCTTTTTTATCACACCTGCACATTTGTAAGAGCCATGCTGTTAGATGAACGTCTCTCCTCAATACATACCAGTTGGTAATGAAAAAGTAAAGTGTTTTTCACCCATTTGAATTAAGAATTGGCGCTTAGATACAGAAATGTACTCTACGACACAGGCAATGCAAAAAATATGTCAAAAACGATGAAAGTGGGAGAATGATGGATCTAGGCTATATCGTCAAAGTGGGGAGAACGTTGCTTTGATATGTAGCAATGGTGCAGCTGTATCTCCTTCAACCGATACGATTTTTAGCACTGTGGGGATTATGAACGAACCAAAGTTTCGAAAACGGATAAACTGATAAGATGAATGTAGAGTAATTTGGATGTACAGCAGTCTACAGTTACCATTGTGGAGAATGAAAAATAATCCCGGAAACAACTCATCAAAGCAGATGAATAACAGCTGAACTGTTACAAAAAGGCTAAGTGCAATTGTTTAATTCCCCTTTGTCATGAAAGGTGGCAATATAGTGTAAGGTAGTCTAGGCATTAATTGATCCTGTTTATACATCTGAGAGGTGGGACATAAAAGCAATCCCAGAGATATGTGATCCCAAGTAACGAAAGGCTAGGTTAGTTGTTACACACTCACAAATAGTTTAGAAGTCTTTCAACCGGCCTCGATGATTCCCCGTGTTTCTTTCACAGCTCTGAACTAATCAGCGGAGGTGTTTTGTTAACTACAATCTTGAAAGGCATTTTTATCTTCTCTGTTCTGTAGACATACTACTTCCTCATTCAGGACTCCTTATACCTTCTCTCGTACGGAATATCCCAACTCATTAGAACCAATAGTGTGGTCGAACCCCCTAGTGGGCTATCCTGTAAATCTCGGGAAACATGGGCTCATGGTCATCAACTTATTTCTCTGATGAAATCGGTAAATATTCAGAAAGCGTTATCACCGTTTGTAATAATTCCTTTTTACTATAAAAACCAAAATATTTTGCCAAAAATGTTTCAAATTTGTTAATTTATTAGTCGTCGTAATTATTTACCAAAATCAACCCCGGTCAGCCCACCAAAGTTCGCATCGGCCAAAAAGGGGTCAGCTCTACTTCAATGATTCTGGTCGACCGTTTATCCAAAAAGCGTTTTTTTTTAAGTAGTGTATACTTTCTTTTTTTTCTAGGTAAAAGCCGACGATGTGATCGGTTTTACGGGAGGTGTACAATTTGGGTCAGATGGAAGCCGCAAAAATGTGAACATTTCAATTCTGGAGATGAGTAAAGACGGATTTACAGTTGTAAGTTCATAACGTATAAATTTAACTTAGTTACAACCCTATTGACTTGTATTTTTAGTAGCTTTTATGTTGGCACAAAATGATGCTACTTTTTGTTTTAATGCAAGAACAATTAGGTGATCCGGGTCACTTTGTGAATGGAATAAGATGGGCAAGTGTTTTGGTGGCTGCCAAAACAAGCAGATGTCATTCTAAACGCCATGAAATAGGATGAGAAACTGCTTCTTTGCTTTCTGTTTTGTCAACTTTAACAAGCTGCTTGTTTGATATTTAGGGTCGAAAAGCATATATTTGATTATAACTGCCCCACACACCTTATTAAAGTGAAAAATCGACAAATTTTCTGATATAGGGGCCACAAGTGACTTTAAAGTCCTAAATCTTTCGAGCATCTGATTGATTTTACCCATTTGCAATGTATTCATTAAAAATTAGGGAATGAGTTAGTCATTAACCGAGAGAGTACAAACGAAAAGTAGTAAATAGTAAAGACGAACTTGTCGCTGATTACATAATTAAGTCAAGATCAAGCCATTAGCCAGATAAGCTTGGGAGTTTTGTACGAGAAAAATAATCACTTCCACAAGGTTCCCTTAAGCACTTTAGTCGTCGCAAGGTCAACACTTTATTCCGTACTCCTCGTCCAGTGGAACATAAATTTGCTGAAAGCCTCACTTGTACGAATCCCTGTGTCTTCTACTTATTCTTGGGTGGTCTAATGCCGGTGTCAAGAAGGAACGGCAACCACCGTATAGAGGCGTATAAAGAAAATATTGAGAAATGGGGTAGTGTGTTCTTTCTACTCCATTCTAAAGTGCATCATTGTCCTTTATCTTCAAGAATAGAAACCTCCTAAACTTGTTTTCTCCAGCAACGTCTAGAGACCATGTTTTCTTCCTCATCTTCTAGTTACAACGCACCAAAAAAGGGTCTTAGCCATGATTGGCCTTCAGCATGTCAAACAATTCTTAGTAAGGACTTGCATCCCGTTCCATTACATATTAGGCATGCAGACATCCGGAAGTGAAGTGGTGCGTGCTCCGGAAGTGGAAGGGGGGCGAGATGTGGGGGGGTGTTTGAGGATGCCCAATAACAATTATCACTTTTCTTCACCTCTTGATCAGTTTGGGACCCATTCAAGGCGTGGAAGAAAAATGGTGGTCTTTCCACCTTATTTTTATTTATTGTTTACGTATTAGTAATTCGCTTCTTAGTAAGCTTAATGACTTCCTCATTTGAGAAAGTAGATGTAAATGCAATTTCTCCATACATGACCCTGTCTGTTCCTGACTCATTAGTTCTGCCCCATATTAATCAGCCGTAGTACAAAATACCTCTTCATGATCATGGAATGAGTGCCTTCTCGAACCTCCCACCTCTGTCTTCAAGCGTTTTACCACTAGAAGCGACTTCTGGATGGAACATTCTACCACCCCATGCCTCTCCTTCTCCAAATGCTAAAAACGACTGTTGCGCGGATCTTTTGTGAACTCACGACTAAATTATCTACTGCCGATGAGTCAGAAAAACTTCAGTCACGTCGTTCGGGACATAAGGACTCAAAATAGGCGCAAAGTGGTAGAGAGCACAATGAGGAGTACCTAACTGGGGGGTGGGGAGGAATAACAAGCATTTAGTGCCTTGTAATGTGTCCACAAATTACGGCAACTCCCATCAGCGAGCCACGCCAACAGCCACCAAATTTCTTTACAACGAGTTGTGCAAGTTTTTCCTCCTCCGTTGGTTAGAAATGAATAGACTCTTACTCCTTGCACTCCATGATAAAATTCACCAGTTTTTTGACACCAATGTGGTTGGAGAAACCTTCATTTCGAAAAACAAACGGTAACTTCCTATTCATAAAATTGGATAAATCGTGTAACTAATGTGTCGATCGAAAGCAAAATATAACGAGTGGTTTATATAAGCGTAAATAAATGTTTTACAAAAAATATGTGATCTTGTGGTTTTTAGTAAAAAATTCTAACAAACAAATCTCAATAAGTAGTAGTTGTCACTTGGAGTTCAGGAATTTTGCAGACTTTTAAGGGAATTCAAGATCCTCCAAAAATGAATAAAGACTAAACATATATGATATTACAGCGAAAAGCCTGAGCGCTGCTGTTTGGTGGCTATTCTACTCAATTTGTTTACTAAGTAAATCCTAGAAATTGGTTAAATTTAAAGATGTCAAATATTTTAAGACTTTAAAATCACCCTGAGAGGGCTTTACAAAGAAAAAAATTCATTAAACTTCTCATTAATAAAATTGATATTATCGTGAGACCATTGTTAATCTGAGGAATTTCTTGTAACTTTGCACTTCCTACTTCTCTTATAGTACGGATATTGGAATAGAAAGGATAAAATGGTAGTAACGAAGGAGTTTTCCAAAACAAAAGAAGAAATTCATGCCGAACTGAAGGGTCAAACGCTGCGAGTTGCAACTATTGAGGTAAGAAGATAGGTTTAATGACACAAAAGTTGACAAAGGTACCAATTTGCTACGAGTATTTACTGGGTATTTTAGCTGTAATAGATTTTAACTAGCCAGCCAATGCCTTGCCGGTTCTCCTAAACGTTGGTTTTGGTTGGCCTGAAAACGCACCGATAGGCCACATTTGCATTAAAATCCCCTCAAAATAAGGAAATTGTGAAATATGAAGGGAAATTTGAGGAAAATAAGGCCATTCTCTCAATTTTTTTTACAGGAAATCCCGTTTATGATGTACAAAGGCCCTCCTAGTGAGGTGAAATCGAGTGATCCCAGAGATTGGCATGGATTCTGCATTGACCTTTTAAATGAGTGCGCTGAAAAGCTTGAATTTAACTACACTGTTCATCCGGTGACAGACGGTAACTACGGCACCGCAAAAATCATTAATGGGCACGAAGTATGGGATGGAATCATTGGACAACTCCAACTTCGTGTAAGTGTATTTAGAAACCTTGAGTTCGTTGCCAGTGGCAAGGAGGACAGAGTGCCATGAACTGATTGTAATTTTTTTTGCAGAAAGCTGATTTGGCAGTAGCCATGCTAACGATAAATCATGAAAGGGAACGAGTCATTGATTTCACAACACCCTTTATGAGTCTTGGAATGAGCATCATCTTTAAAAAGCCGGAACAGAGAAAACCCGATCTTTTCTCCTTTCTGCGACCTCTTTCACCTACGGTCAGTTAGTTTAATTGTCTTTAGTTATCAATAATTATGTCTATGTTTTTAAAGCACTAAATGATAGCGTTGCATGCCCCTTTACAATGACAAGGCCTCACTAATCCCACCTCTTTATCAGACAGCACCTCCAAATCAAAAACCGTAGCTTTAGCAATCTCCGTTTCTGTCTCACTTTTAATTATCTACTGTCTACTTTAAATTTTACCATTGATTTTAGTCAGGTAAATTTCAAAGAACTGCGTAGGATAAGGTAGTACACCTACTCCCCTCGTGGGTAGGCTTTGCGTCACCATAAGGTCCTACGAGTCTGAGTTTTATCGCATTGAGCAGATAGACATTAGACAAAGTGATCTTTTGAGTTTTAGTAAATTGGGGAATCCTAGCGAACAACCGAGCCTACTGTTTACCAACTCGAAAAAGCACGATCTTTCGACGATGAAGTGCAGCTTTTGAAATGTATAATGGGTAGTGAGGAAAAGAGTCGTTTGAAGATGATTAACTGCTTAATGCATGTTAGGATACAAAGTTCAGTCCTAACCATACGTTAATCCATCAATCAGCGATTATAAGCGTAAAGTTGACAAATGGATAGATAATCTTTGAACAAACCTACTCACTTCATGAGGGCTGAAGCCGCGAAGAATCATGCAGAGAGACTGATGTATGTCAACGTTTTTATAGTGCGTGCATTCTACGAGTTGCATCAAAGTTTGCCGGAAAACGCGAGAGCATTTTGTCCATCCGATATGTTAACATGCCATAGCTTCATCAATGACTTGGCAACCTTTTCACCCATTCATAGAATCTCCTGAGGGTTTTCTCGTCAAAATTGATCTGGCTATTCTAAAATAAAGCATTATGGACTAATTGCATTACCTTCGTAGGTAGCTGTGTTTTTCTATGACGTTATTTTTAAAGTTGAAAAAAATCTTCAAATTTATTAATTAGTGATACAATTCTACTTATTTTATATGAGCACAATGTCCTGCTGTCTGCAATATGCACTTCTACTGATATTTGTCCCCTTTTCTTTCAAAGAGACCTAGAAAATTATACTAGGTAACTAATAAAACAGTATTTCTTTCCCAAATTTTTGCCTGTTTACTTTTTAAAATGAATAGCTAATCACCGCTTGCAGCATCACCAGAGACCATCAGATAAAAACAAGGGTTTGGAGGATGAAAGCATTAACATTTAAACATGCATCATTTGTTTGTTGGTTAGACAAATGCTAGGCCTGCAGGAATTTGAAAATAAATGGGATTTAATGCCACCATCTGGACCACTCATTCGTCAAAGTTGATGGCTTGGCTGCTTTACGTCCGTTGAAGCAGTAGAATCAGTTTTCAAATTTGATCCATTTAAAGTAGAGGAATCCCAGCAAGGCAACCAAGTCCTTACTGTGCACAAATAGGCTAAGAAGCTGAATTAAGGTTTCTACCAAACGTACTTTCTGCTTATAAGAACCAGAGTAAGAAAAAGTGATGACGCTCCCCTTTTTATGCATTCAACTAGTCAAGTTTACAGTCGTTCCCACTCACTGAGTCCTTTACTTAAATACCTTCAAGTTTCAAAATAAATACGTGGATGAGGCATCAATTTTCGTCCTTGCACCGCTCATCCAGCCACAAAATTTTTAAGATTGAGTGATAAATAGAGGGAAAATTTGCTTCATTCGCCTTCTTTAACTACGTAGACTTTTATGGTACCGTAATCTCAGTTAGGACATCTCTCATACTTAGCATATTCGAAGAAAAAAATACAAGGATTTATTAAATCACGGCTTCTCGAATCGTCGAGCAACTAAGGCTGCATGCACTTCGTTCTTTAATATCTTGAGGTACCTGAGTTTAGGAAGCGAAAAAGGAAACCTCTGCATAAAAATAACACGCTTTTCTAGGAGTTATTCAAGGCTTTGAGTCCTTTAAATTATTAAAAGCTTAAATAGGGTACAATTTTTACATTTACTCTCACACCGGCAATAACACAATAAAATTTAGGAAGAAGTTTTGCACAGAAATTTACTTCGCAACGATAACAAAGTAAAGTAGGCTTTGCCAGGAATGGGTCGGTCGTCATGGATTCCAAGCGTTAGCCAAGAACTTGGCTAAATGTACAAATGTGGCAAGCACAACTCTTGCATAATATGAAAAGGGCTTTGTTCTTTTCTGAATTTCATGAAATCAAAAACACCACTTTGACTTCAATGGACACCCTAAAAGTTGTTCTTCAACAATGGAGAATCTAACCAATCAAATTGCAATTCCTTTTTAGGTGTGGGGCTACGTGCTCATAGCCTACGTTTGGGTCAGTATAACTCTCTTCTTCGTGGCTCGTTTTAGTCCCTATGAGTGGCACAATCCCCATCCTTGTAACAATGAATCGGAAATCCTTGAAAATAGCTTTAATATGCTCAACAGTCTTTGGTTCACGATTGGTTGTTTGATGCAGAAAGGTGGGTAATTTTACTTACATTTATCTCTTAAAAATAATTTTAAGGACAAAAGGTGGTTAAAATGCAAGTTTGTACCTCTAATTTGTTACAATACCCTGAAATTTTACAATAAAATCGAAATAGCCTGCAAATTAAAATTCGAATGTCATGGAAATTTTTGATTGGTTTACATTTGACTAATCACAGAGCGCCTAGTTTTACTTGACCAATTATATCGAAGATTCAGTATCCCGATGTTTTATTGGCGTGCTGCTAGATTCGAAAATATTTTATCGGTTGTGTGTTGGGAAAATGAACGGTTCTGTAACTTTAGCGTGTAATCTCCATAAAATTATAAAGTGACTCAATTACCTATTATCAAATAAGAAGTCGTTGAGCCCTGATTCAGCCTAATTGAAATTTTAGCCACTCAAAGTCAGTCAAAAAAATTTAGGTTGGAGTCACTTAACACCTTCATCTGAACGTGACGTGCGGAGATTTGTATGTAAGCGGTGTGACTAACTTACAATCTTATGTCAGTTGGCTATGTTAAACCGTGTGTCTCAAGAGGATTAATAGAATTTTAAGAAATGAAAATGGATGGTTTTAGCTGTTTTTGGGGTAATTGAAACTTTCGACTTCTGAGCAGAGGTAGAAAAATGGTAGCAATTGGTATTTGATTAAAAAGGCAAAGCGCCTGCGCTGGAGTGGTCAATTTTCCTCCTTTAACCTGATGGCAAACCAGTCAAATGTAATGGCTTCGAGGCATACTTAAAACATAAGTTCCGAGTGTAGTGAAACGTTTCGAAGAAAGATGATATATTAAAAGTGGTCATGACAAGAGTTTTGTGCATTTTAATCTGGTTAAGTTAGCTGTGAACTGGTATATCTGTGGTTGTTTGCCTTCTGAGGCCTCAAAATGCACACTGCTAGAGGGATTAGTCCGACTGTCATCCTTTTAACACTTAATGATCGGCGCGGCATCGTGACCACTGCAGATATTATCGAAATAGCTTAATAATTTTACAAAATCTGCAAACTTATTATCTTTTTGAAAGTATAAACACTTTTTAGCGCAAAAATTTCGCGTTTTTACGCTTAATGAGTTCTAAGGATCTGTTAACTCATACATTAGAAACTACGACTTAGTTTTTAACCCATAGGTCCAAATTCGTCTTAGTAACTCACTGGCCGATTAAATATGTGTGAGCGATTTCAGATAAGTTTCGGCATTTTTGCAAAAAAAGAGCTTTTTATTGATCTAAAACACTAAGTGACTCATTTGCGCGATTTTCGGGTTTAATTGTTGTTTCAAAAAGTTTTTACAAATGCGTCTTTAAAAAACTACTTTAAAACCTAAAACTGCGTCAAAATCCACAAAAAATAGCGCATTTGAGAAAAAGGCAAAAGTCTTAAGAAGTAAAGTCGGCGATTTTTTGGTAGGCCAATGTTCTTTAATATCTCTAGGCTGTCACAAATTAAACACTTTTCCTACCCTAACCATTTATCTTCTTTTTTAAAGGCTCAGACATCATGCCAAAGGCAACATCCACCCGAATAATTGCAGGTTTTTGGGGTTTCTTCACCCTTATTATCATCTCTTCCTACACCGCCAACTTGGCCGCCTTCCTGACAGTGGAAAGAATGCAAGCCCCTATTGAGGATGTAAAGGATTTAGCAAAACAGACAAAAATCAAGTATGGTACACGTAAGGGTGGATCCTCAGAAGACTTCTTTGCTGTAAGTTAATGAAGCCTTTTCCTTAGCTCTCCAGAACATTTGTTACACTAGGCGTCGATGTGGAGAAAAGCCCCTTCAGTTGTGTTTAGCATGAGGAATGAAGCACTTTGTATGCACGTGGAACACCAACTTGGGAGGGAAAATCGTTAAAACATCCAAAGAAATAGGTTCCACCTACATAGTATGAAGTATCAGGGGATGTTGGACAATAAGTTCGAAAAATTACTAATATGTTCATCAAATTCTCCAACTGTCTTATCAAAATGCGTCAAGGAGTAGAATGCCTATGATGAGACGGCTTTCACATCCGAGCGAACATTTCATTAGTGGTGTCTTACGCCATCAACTCACTCTGAGGGACGCATTATTCAGTCTCCAGAGGACCGTGCATGCTCCGTGTGTGATGAAGCGCAGATTCTGTGGTTCGCTAATAGTGTTCACTCGCTGGAAGCAACGTCCGACTGCTATCTATCTACTCAATGCAGTTTGACGCATTTTGAAGACGTGCAAGCAAAACTTCTTGGAAGGTACTTAAGACTATTGGTTCCGTGGTATGAAAGTTTTCGTCGAATTCCTACAGGGCAACTCAAGACCTCATATCTGATTTTACAACACTTATTCCTGAGAAGACGTAATTCTAAACTGTCTCATCCTCCGCATTCCTCTTTTTTGCCCATTTTTGACTTTTAAAAGTTCCACGATTTTGTGCAAAATAAGTGGGAGATGGAATTGAAACTCTGTGCTAAATAAGTAAAAGAAAAATAAACGCGCATCTTGTAAAAGGAATAGGGATATAAACAAATAATTAAAAAATTTCCAAAGCTACTTACTTTTTCTTATGAAGCTTTTTAATCTCCTTTTACATAATCACTTTTGATAAGCAAACTGACTTTTTGGATCTGCGTCAGGTGTCATAAATCTGCAGTTCCAGGTTCTCAGACAGCTGCTTTGCAGGGGGTTTCTCCTGACAGGCAATTTTACAGAGCCAAGACTGTGGTGACTATTATACCAAACCATGAAGTTCACACAACTATGCGTTTTTCACGTCAACAAAACGTCTCAGCACCTGGCTGGTAGGCCCATCAACTTATCGAGTCGGTATACAACTTTACGGATCCTGATACTGTTTTAATTGTGCATTCACTATGCGGTGGTTACTTTAAAAGTGCTTAATTTTTGCATGGAAAAATCTAAGGGTTAAAATACAAGTTAATTTTAAGATAAATGAGAGGTATTTATTGCATGTATCCTACTTTGACTTTTAGCTTAGAAGGGAGTATCCCTTTAGGTAGCCACAAGCTTAAGAGAGTTAGTAACTTCGATCCATGGGAAAAGGAAACCTTGAGAGCCTAATTTTAATAACTCCTTTATGTAGGTGATCGTGCGTATTTTCCAGCAAATATCTGACTTATAAAAGAGATTTTCTGATCAAATCCATTGATAAAACCCAACTTATTCATTGGATTCTAAATTTGAAAGACTCAGATATCTATGTACAATATAACGCAGTAATGGTTACAACTGGTTCATTAACTCTCATTTGCAGCAACAAATCCTATCATGCAATTTGCTTAATGCGCGCAATTTATTAATGGCCTGGGAACCAATCAGGTGCTCGCGACTAAAGCATAAAAAGCAAATTATAGCCAAAAAATGGTGTAATTAGTAACATCTATTCGGTTAAAAAACAACTAAACGTCAACAAAATTGGGTAAAGTTACGAGATTTCGATTCTTGATGAGTATTTTTTTTCGCGAAACCTCGCTTTACCACCAAAAAAAAATGAAAAAATTAGATTGGCAGAAACCTAAAACTAGTGTAGAAATAAGTTTAATCAGGCAAAGGTGTAATAGTCAAGTTCTTAATCTGCGAAGCTATAGTAATTTTAAATCGTTATCAACAGGAGACTTGATTGAAGCTAAAATCTTCGTTTTAGAAGTCGAATCAGTCATTGTATCAACGGATGTGGCAGTTTATGTCCAGCAATAAAGGTGTGATGATAAACAACGCGACAGAGGCGATAGCTCGAGTTAAACGAGGCGGCTACGCCTACATCCTTGAGTCTACTATGAATGAGTACTTCACCCAGCGCAACTGTGATCTCATCCAAATTGGCGATAATCTCGACTCCAAGGGCTATGGCATTGGGTTCCCTCAAGGTCAGCTTAATGATCTTTCTTTTTCTCGGGATTAAGAGTTAATATTTTTTTCCTATCGAAATAATAAAATTCAAGTTTACTTTAATTTGACCGGTCTGCATAATGTCCCCATCCACCTTATTGGTTTTCTCAGGGTTGGCAGGTGATTTATAAGCACTCCATTCCTAACTTTTTCGGTCATGTCCCAGATCCTCTTGCAAATAATTCTACTTATGTGAAAATTCTAAAAGGTCTTATTAATTAAAAGTCCCAGAATTTTGGTTTTTCTTATAGGTTTGTTGCCTATATTTAGAGGATTTCTAACTTATAATGCAAAAGATCAGATGACTGTCTCTGTATCACAGGGAAAAACAGTTGTAAAGTAGTATTTGAGACCATAAATATGCGCTAGAGGGAGTAGATTTCACATGAAAGTCCATGTTATTAAAGACTCCAGTCTGTTGGAAACCCCTTTTTATGAAAATCACAAAACACAAAACACTTTCTCCCCACTTTGAATTAGTTTTGGCCTTCCTTTCTGTCAACTTTTATTTAACACGACTTGTTGAGACCCGTCTAAGGTTATTTCAGGGCATATTGGCGTGGAGGAGGAGTTTTCACTAATGGGGGAGGCTGTAGGCACATGCAGAAGGCTAAACCGCCAGACAGCCGCACACAAAGTAAACAAAGCACAAGGTAGCTGGGCCACCCTTGTTTTTAAGCCTCGCCTAAGGTGCTCCTAAGGGTCGCTCCTCCGTAGCCGCACAATGAATCTCTGTTTGCACTGTAGCTAACCAAAGGACGGAATCAGAAATGATGCCACCTTACAGATTTAGTCCGAGTTTCCAAATGCTCCATGTCAAAGAGAATGCCAGAACTTGGACAATATGCCATAGAAAGCATGCTATCAGCGCCAATTATTGGGATGTTTCGCATCCTCATGCATGTTAAAATGCGCTGTTTTAAATTATCAGTAGCCCGATTAGCAGATTTCTAAAGATAAGGCATTTTTACTAAAGGATAGACGGATTTGCATAAGTAGCATACAGATATCGGATCTCACACAGCCTTTGAATTTTCCATGGGTTAGATAAAATACTTTGTAGGCCCTCTGAAAAGTTGGGAGTATGGTTCAACAGAGATGCAAATTATTTCTAAAGATTTGTACCTTTTTTAATTTTTCACTTGTAGGTTCCAAGTACCGAGACGAGTTCTCCGAGGTTATTCTTCAGCTTCAAGAATCCCAAGCCCTGGAGCAGATTCGACGCTACTGGTGGCGCAATTTTAGCATCACAGAGCCCTGTGAAAGTCTAGTCTCAAAGAGCACCAACACTAATTCCTTAGGACATGAGCAAATTGGTGGATGCTTCGTCATGTGTCTCATCGGACTGGGTGCTTCCATCCTGATCAGTCTGCAAGAATTCCTCTATAAGGCCTATCATCGATCGAAAATCACCAAGGTATGTAGCTTGGTTGCCAAATTCGCAGTTACCTGTCATGGGTGCCCAGCTCTGAGCACCTTTTGATTCAATTCATAAAATTTGTGATGCAGGGGCCCAACGGTCTAATTTGCCTTATTTACAAAAAATTTTAATCCTGGAAAATTTGTGCGCAAGTAGTAGGCATACTATTTAAACTTACCCCATATTTTTTCTCGCATTCTGAAACTCCTTTTACTTGCTAAAAATCTAGGATTTTTGAGTGTGAACTGAAAAAGAGAAAAAATACGCCTTGATTAAGATCTAACCTAATTGCTAGAGGGTTTTTGGGTTTACCTATGGGAAGCATCATCGCTGCAGCCAAAGGGATGGTTTCTGTATTCAGTAATTAGTGGTCATTTGAACAATCTGACATGCTTTTATAGACATTTAGAAAGGTTTTAAGTCTCTATGTTCCTGTGTGAGCACGGACACTGTTGAGACTTCAAGTAAAGCATTCCAGCGGTAAAGGATTCAGCGGAGACTTTCTTACTGCCGACAATCAATGAACACTCGGATCACGTGTATGTGGTATGTTGGAGTCTAGAGGTGGCTTTATTGGCCTTGAACTCAAAGAAAGCACGACAAGCGAAGTGTTCTGGAATGTTTGAGACAAGCGCATAAAAGGCGGCTACTGATAACTTCTAGAACATCAGAATGGGAACGTTTTTATTGCCATTGTTAGCATCTTGGTGGGCAACAGAACCGCAAACTTTACAGTTTGCTCAATAATCAGATAATTTTATTAATTTTACAGTAAGTGGTAGCTAGGTGATTGCATCAATATTTTAGAGAAGCCGCAAATTGATTAAACGAGTAAGGGCTGCAATTTCTACGAATTCCATTGGTTAATTTTCGTAGCTGTTTTTCATTTGCCGTGATTTGTACTCTGATTCACAAATTTAATAATTAAAAAGCGTTGGTACTTCTTAATTCATATCGCGATCCAATTTTTGTATTTTACGTCAACTTTTGAACTCCCATCTTCGATCACGAAATTGAGTATCTTGGGCTCCACCTGGTCACTTATGCTACGTTAATCTCAATGTAGTTGGGATATTAGCATACAATACCTATATAATTTTTCACCAAACTGGGAAGGCACTTGACCCTAAAGTCACTGATGCATCTCGTCGGTTCTATTTGACTTTCACTAAGGGAAGTGAATTCGCCATCCACTTTCTGCCAAAAGTTAAACGATGTTTCTGCAACAAATGCATTTCGGAGCAGAGCAGTTTAATTAAAGGCATAATTCAAAGTAGATTGACCAAGACTTCATTGCCTCGCTTTGGTGTTACGTAGCCATCCATAACCCCTCTCGTGTAAAGCCCCGCAACTTCAACCACCCACATAAGATGTCCACCAACTGAAACTGAAGACTTAGGTTGTCGCATGGGGGAGTCGTTATTTCTTCTTAAATTATCTCTGTTTATTGCTACCATCATTGTAGTGCCTCGTAACAAGCCATACCAGTACAGGAGACTACTTTGATAAACCCCTAATAGGGCTTATCGGTCACGTGCAAAACCCCTATTAAAAAGAAATACCAAATGGCCAAATAACTCTTCTAAGTGAGAATCTACTTATTCATCGTTAAAAATAATCCAAAAAGGCAGTAGTCCACAGGGTTAAAAACACCAGGTTTTATAAATGCCTGGTTTAAAACGAATCCCTTGTAGATGGGGAATCGCGATCGCGTTAGATATCGACGAGTGTCTTCCCCTCTCCCATTCACATTCCCCTTGGTCAAATTTTAAAGATGAGTGCCTTGTTTTTCTCTTTAAAGGCGAATTTTGACTACACAGGTCACTTCATCAGTGTGTGTTTTAATGCCCCACTTTTTCATTACAATTTCTTGATTTTATCACTTATTTTACATGTTTCTCTGCAGCTAATGACCAGGTAGCCATTTGTGACTGCAATGATTTTATAAATCTACATCAAATAACTTTAAAAGAGAAGTTATTTTATAATTTCTGCAAAGTTCCATTCTTCTGTAGCAGCTTAGGTATTTTTTCATCATTATTTTGCACACAGAATCATATAAAAAAGCAAAATGCCTAGAAGTATCAGATTAATTAGACGTGAAATTTTTGAAAAATTTGGTGAAGGTTTTGCAACTAGGTGCTTTGAATCTATCTTTAAAAGATAAAGTTGACCTGTAGTGTCCTAAGCCAAATTAGATTGAAGCAGTGCGAATCCCCTGCCTTCCTTTAAACGCCATCTTTGGCACACCCTTTGGCCGTCACACCGTACTTGATGCGCCAAACGTCACCCACAAACCACCAACGCCAATCATTCTATGGTCTTGCTTGCGAGGTATTTGATCCCAACTTCGCTGATACATCTCACCATTTTCACTGAGTCCAGAGTTTCTTCCTATTACTGAACTGTACTGGAGAGGATGGAATGCACCGTGCTGCAGAGCGTAGGTACAACCTGCGGAGATTTAGGTTCCTGCTGGACTAAACATGCAGTCAAACAATATGGAAGCGCTACAAACGTACTCATTTTGAAATTCTCAGCAGCTCTAATTTTATGTTTTTGCATTAAAACTATAAATTAACGGTCGATTTGCTTAACAAATCTTGAAAACGTCCTTTATTTTCTAACCATAGGCTAACCAACACTTGTTAGAGAAAACTCAAGTTGGAGTCAAATGTATGAATATTTTTCTCAAACTACTTAAGTAATTAAGTTTCATCTTTTGCCAAAATTTTCCTCCTCAAGCGGTCTTTTTGTGAAGAGGCAGCTCGTGAGTTCCGCTTCTCCATGGCCTGCTCTAGCACTCGTGATTCTGCTGCCGAATCTGCCCTTGCACTTCCACCGCCACCTTCGCGATGCGCTCCGCCTTCTAAGGAATGCAGAATGGCCGCGCTAGCCTACGCACCCTGCCTGCCGGCTGCTGACCGCCTGCTGGCTTTGGCC